CACTATTCGGTTTATGGCTGCGCATGGCGAAGTTGGTAGGCTGGTAGGCAACACCGCCTTCGAAGATCTCGAGATCACACTTATGGCTTTTTGGAGGAAATACTCTGTTTTATATCCTTCGCATCAAGCATTTCAAGAGGGAAACGGTATGGAACTTCGCCGCTGCATTCCTTGCTACCTCCACGGAGACGAGGGAAGGTCTTTCAAACAAAACGGAGTGTTGCTGATCAACCTGCAAGGAGCCATCGGAACAGGATCCGAACCTTTCCTGAAGAAGCATGAGGTCAATGAACGGTTCCGGCAGACTTCGATGGGTCTCAATATGGGCGGCCACTCATTTGCCAGCAGGCTGTTGTACTGTTCCATGCAGAGAAAGTTTTATGCAAAACAACCACATGTACTCGAGAACCTCCTCGACAACCTAGCAACACAGCTCTTGCGACTACAGCAGGGTTTCGAGTACAGACAACAAAAATGGCATATTATTCTGCTGGGTGTCAAAGGCGATTTGCCGTGGCTGACAAAAGCAGCTGGATTCGAAAGACACTTTCTTCGAGCGCAGCGGTCGCTGAGCCGGAAGTCGAAAGAACCACCCGTAGGAGTCTGTTTTCTTTGCCATGCTGGTCGTTCCCACGTTCCGTATGAAGACTTTTCTGATGGTGCTGCGTGGACCCGGGATGGTTGCGATCTTCCCTGGTCACGAGCACCGAGCATGTCGAGGCTATACCATGACCCTTTTCAGCCATCTGCGTTGTACAAGCTTGACATATTTCACAATTTCCACGGCGGGGCTGGGAAGGACTGGGTTGCATCCGCGATGACGGAGGCATTGAGCTTGATTCCGGGCACATCACGGGAGGCCAAGATTGACTCCATGGCGCAGATCATGCGGCAGTGGGGTCGCATTAGTCCAAAGAACCGCCCTCATTCAGGAGACTTTTGTGTTGAACGTATTGGCCTCACTTCCTACCAAGTGTGTCCGGATGCCAGCTGGTCGAAACACAATGACACCACGATATATATGAGATTCCTACAACACTTCCTGCATGCTCGGCCAGAGCATGCGCAAAACGAGAAATTGTCCTTGATTTACAAGGCGACTTGTGCCATGAACCTTTCGTTTCAGCTCCTGTACGAGGCTGGCTTGTTCATTCCGCAGGCTACAGCGCAACGAATCGCATCATTGGGCAGGTTCTGGCTGCAAGCTTATGCAGTTCTCGCTGCAAAATCGCACAGCGAGGGCTTTCTCCGATTCCCGTTGCATACGAAGCTGCACTACTTGGACCACTCGTTCAGGCAGCTACAACAGCAGGCTTCTCAGGCTTCATGGGTATACAACATACTCAACGAAAGCGTCCAAATGGACGAAGCAGCTCAGCTATGTACGTGGTTTTGCATGCATGTACATGTGCACAATCGAGAAATAGTGAATGTGTTAAGCTGTTGCTGAGGATTTCGTCGGCCAGCAGGCCAGATTGAGTCGAAGGGTTAGCCCGATTACCAATTCGATTCGATCACTGCAGCGCTACTGTACGCGAGCGAAATCGGTCTGGGTCAAGTCGCCGAGCCACTGAGCTCCAGGCGAAGCTGAAGATGCCAGCAAGGGGCATTGCTGAGTCGAAAAGGCTTCGTGGAGCGAGCTGATGTAATGAAGCTGCAATCGCTGATGCATTTCGAACTATAACCAAAAATCCCGAGTTTGGAAAGCCCAATGCGTTGTCTAAAACCCATGCGCCCCACCGCTCACCCGAATATGCCCGTATATGCGAAACGAGCGGTCACGGGCGAATGACCCAGTATACGCGGTCGTTTGGTGTTAAAGGTAGTTTTTTTTGGTACCATCGGCCTAAGCTCCTCGAACTTCTGGCGTGCTTGCTCCTGCAGAGCCCCGGGGCCGAACCAGCTACTTAAGCAAGGCACTGGCTAAACACGAAAAATGCAATGCAACAGCTCTGTGACCAAGGTCTCCTTCTCCTCCTGTCGCCGCCGCTCCTCCTGCAGCTTCGTTGCAGCTTCAAGCGGATTGCGAAGCAAGCGAAGCCCCGGCTCTTCAGATGCCTCCTGGTGCTTCTGAGCTAGCTCGTTCTGCTGGTGGAGCCTCGATGCCCAAACATAAACATGAAGACATCGACTATCTAAGTCTCCGAGTCGGCAAGATCCAAGTGAGTTGGGTGTGGCGCTTAGAACCCAAGGTGGGTGGACAACGCGTGGAAACGCAGAAACCATGCGTTTGCAATCTGCCGCGTCTGAGCGCCCGCGCTGAGCCGTCTGCCGCAGCAGCTCCTCACCTCGGCCTCGGGAATCCCAGGTGTCCCGCTGGAGCGGTGCTGAAGCTACATGCAGCTACACTGACAAGTCTGATACTGTTCACTTTGGGTCTTGTAGCCGGAATTCAACAAGTGGGAGACGGCTGTGCATGCACTAAACTCCTTGGCTTTAGCAGAGCCAAACTTAAGCTGTGTTCGGCCTTGACGGCACTACTGTACATTGCATACTGTACATTGGATGTCATCAAGAAGAAGAGCCCCTGAATCAGACACCCGGGTCCTTCACTTAGTCCTTTCATTTCCTTCAAAGCCCTGTGCGAAAGGTCCATGCGATCCCAGCAACAATCCAGCACGATGTCTGCAAGTAAGATGTTTCAATGCTGCCCGGCAGGTGATGCTGAACAACACCCGGAAAAGGGACCTTTCGCTGATGCAATATGACCTGTTTTTTGCCGCTGCCCTCCAAAGCACTACACCTGCCAATGTGTACGAGCCAAGGCTTTTTCCGTCACGTAAAAACGGCACGAGGTCCCTCCGTCCGCGTTGGATGTCCGGCCGCTCATCGGAAGCCAACGGCAGCCTGCAAATTCAAAGGAGACTTTGAGAGCTTTCAAGCCTGTGCTTCCAGAGCAGGTCAGCAGGTGTTCAATTCCTAACCAAGCCCAACCTCTGCTATGCGGTATTTACATCGCTGTGGCCTGCCACAGGAATGCCAAGAGGAAGAAGAACACCGGAAGGATCTGCGGCAGTTTTCAAGGACTTTTTGAAGGACTGCGGGAACAGGAACACTGATGAAACCAGCGCATTCTGCCAAGCACGTCAGAAGCTTCGCTAGCACGAGCCGCTGCTGTTTGAGGGCATGGTACAGTGAGAGGCTGAGTCTACAGAACTCGTCCAGAACTCGAAAAACTGAGCCTAGCGCGAACTCCAAAATTGGAAGTGGCATGAAGTGGAATTCTGAAGCAGGTCGTGAGAGTCGCTAACTTAGCACAGACAGCTCCTTTTCAAGTTCAAACCTGCAAAGGTGCTCATGTTCATTAATTGCTTCTTCCTTTGCCTAGCGCATCCCAAGCTCCTAAACGCTTATTTAAGAAATTCTAGCCCCGAAACTCAGCACCGGAGTCTTCTGAGGGCGCTGCCGGAAGCACGTCAACGATCGGGGCAAAGATCACGAACTCCTCTGCTCGTCACTGCACTCATAGGCACTGCAGCCGCAACGGCACATTCCGAGCGCCAAGGGGTCCCCGCAAGTCCTCGGGCAGCCGGGCATGTGCCGCCTCGGGCGTGGCGAGAACAGCGCCCACGGCAGCTGCCTTGGCCACATCCTGCGAAACCTTTCGAAGAGGGAGCTGGCGGGTCGCTTCGTGCCTTCAGGCTTCGAGTCTCTACTCGCGAGCCCGGGCCGAAAGTCGAAAGTCGCCAGCATGCCACGCACCATGGCCGCAACACGAAGAACGTAGCAACTAAACAGACTGCAACCACGAGAACCACGAGCTCCGAAACGACGGAGGCTCAGAAAGCCACCTCGCTGCGCAGGTTCTGGCTGCCGTTGGGGCTGACGAATGCACTCCTAAGTACGGCCAAGCATTTGCAGCCGAGATTGACTGGCTTCATACGCTTCGTCGACGAGAGATTACTGTACGAGGCCCTGTACACCAAGGGTTAGGAGGATCCCAACTCAATTCGAACCCTCCAAGGAAGTGAAGGATATTGAACTGCCGAACGCCAGAACACATCAGAACACAGTCAGGATTCTGCAGGAGGCACAGAGCAGCCATGGCCGCCAGGAGGACGAGAGCGCTGGAGCCTGAGCGCTTGATTGGGTGAAGGGCTCGTGGCCCGCATCTCTCTTTTTCCTACCCTTCAGGTTCAAGCACTGTCAATGGACTCGAAGAAGTACTGAGTGGATAGGGGAACAGGCGCGGCCGCGAGGGATGGGGCTGCGGACGGAAAATCGATGTAGAGTTGGGCCTAGTTGCGGCGTGCGGCCATTGCGTCTTGTCCAGGCAGTGGGAGGTCGGGTGCGGACAGGTCTTGAACTCGAGCCCGGCAGCTTTTCATGCAGCGAGCCCCCATGAAAAACTCAAAAATCATGTGGTGTGGACTTTAATGCTTCAAGGCATCACCCGAAAAAGCACGAAAGAGTCTGGCACTGGAACATATACTGTAGCAGAGAGTGGCAGTTGAGACAATAAGAAGGGAATAAGAAGGGGACCAATGGCAGTATGCTGCGACCTATGGTGAAAGAGCACGTTTTGACAGGGGGGATCAATGCAACAGCTGGTCGACGGGTAAGTGTGGTCGTCAGCACTATGCTCCACAACTGCACGAATCGCAGGGTTGTTTTCCGCACTTGCCTGCAGCATTGCTGCATTGCTGAGTTAATGTAGCGGAAACGAAAAATCTCGAGTCCTGCAGCCGGTGCGGCGGGAGAGGTTATGACGATAAATCTCAAAGGGCCGAATGCACACTCTCTACAGACCTTCAGCAGTACAACAGTATCACTATGGCCCCACACAGCCATTCTGATCATTCTGTGAGAATGGACAGTGTTCAGCTTGCCATGCTTCATGGTTGGCAGTAGACTGTAGACGCGAGGTGTGAGCCGTGGCTCTGACTTGCGCAAGCTGCGCTGCAACCTTCACTCTTGCGGCTCTACGGCTGACGCGGCAGAACCTCCCAGTCAACTGTCGCTTGCAACCAGTCCTCGTGCCCGCGAAGCTTCCAAGTCGCTCAGCGAAATCCGACTGCCGCCTCAGACACGCAGACAGGTCCGAGGATGGCGCGAAGAAAACTGCTTGAGGCATCCGTCGCTCAAAGCTCGAAGTGCCGACTCACAGCTTCCTGGACTGCTACTGGCCTGCCACAGGAACGCCAGCAAGAAGAAGAACACAGGCAGGATCTGGCAGGTCTTTCAATTCGCGAGCATATTAATGAAGCACACAAGGCCACACAAGGTTGCGCATCGATGTGCTGTGGCTTTGAAATCCTTTGGAACTCTTGGTGCTCGAAGGCTGCGTACAGAGCAATGCAGAGAACATCTGAAGCTCGAGCATGCCCGAGCACCGTGTGCAGAAGACTGAACTCTTGTGCCAAAACTCGTGCCGCAGGTACCGGCAGTACGTCCACGATGGGGGCGAAGATAACAAACTCCTCTCCACATTTTACAAAAAAGGATCCTTCTAACCTCTCCTGCACTGCAACAGCTTGATCCCTATAAAGCAATCGTTCGATGAAGTACGGCATCAGCAGCAGTTCTTGTGTCTTATTCCCTGCTAGCTGCTAGCGGCAGCCGAGGTGTGAGCACGTGAAAGGGTTTTACAGGGGTACGACACCTGTTCATGCTGAGCCCCACACGCCACAACTGAGCATGACGAGTACTCGAAGCTCCGAACGGAGGCAAGGGCGAAGTGATTTCTTGCGAAGACGGCGTGACTGTGTTTGCGGTGGACACGACAAGACTGGCAACAACGCTCCCATACCCTCCCAAGACACAGAAGGCCAGCTCGACGACAACGACAACGGTGGCTTCTTGGCTCAACGGCGGTGAACGACAGACGAACGAGGTAGCAAAAAGAGGATCCAGAAAACATGCTCCTCGCAGGGGACAGCTAAGCTGCAACAGACTCCGAAGGCTGGCAGCCCTCTGGATAAGCATTTACCGACTAGAACAGGTTTACCAACCAACTCGTGTCAAAGCCTTTCTTCCCGATCCGGTTGCTGCGTGGCAGCTCTCCTCCGGCAGTCGCGCATGGGCCGCTTCCGGCGCGGTCAGGACGGCACCTGCTGCGGCCACCTTGGCCATGTCCTGCTGCGAAACCTGCCGCCATCTGCAGAACAGAAAAGCATTGGCCGCTCTTGATCAGGGATGCCAAATCCAAAGCCCCAAATCGACCCCAAGCTCCATCCTAAATTCTCAGCCCAAATCTCTGAAGAATCCAATTCCTCTCGCATGGTCCATCCGAGACCCTGGGCCCTGGGCCTGACCGCTGCGGCTAGGGCCCAAGAAAGCAGCCTGCCAGAGTCTCTGAGACCAACGCACATGAGGGATTGCTGGGACGCCACGTTGCATGCAGAAAGCTGCGATGGGCGGAACACCACGTTGCAGGAATTGCGCAGTCCGCTTAGTCAGGTGCGAGAACGAAGGCCGTGCCAAGTCCCGGCCTGGAGTGCCAGCAGAGCGCATAGGGCGGCAGCAAGGATCAGAGCCTGCAGTCACCAGGCCGGCACACGAAAGGTGTGCTGCTTTTGCCCCTGCGCTGGCCCCCGAAACCCTGGCGCAACATGAGGCGAGAGTCGCTGGAGGAGCGTCGGGCCATGATTCGCAAGTGAGCGTGGTAAGCGGGATCAGGATCGGCAAGCCAAAAAACTGCTTGAGCAGAGCAGCCACAGGCCTTTGCAGTTCGTTTTGCCTCCATGCACAACACGCACGTCACGAAACCTTCCGAGCCACTGTAACCTAGAGCGAAGCAGGTGCATTCCATACCAGCTGATGGCTGAACCCGACTCGCGAAATTGAAATTCCGAAGCTCCATCTGCTCTCTGATCCTTCATTCGTGAACCCGAGGCCGGCGCGGAGGAGCTCTGTGGGCGACGCGGACGCCTGTCCCATGGCCTTGGTCGGGCTGAGCACAGCTTCGCCCATTCTCCTCAACCATAACCTCGCAAGCTTGACGTTCACTGATTCACAGCACTCGAACGACTCCAAGACCTCGAGGTGCACTGCACAGCCTGATTTTTTAACACTGAACTGCAGGGTGCGGCAGATGCGGCTGCTGCTGCTTTGGAGAAGCCTGAAGAGTGGCCAGTTCATATAGGTCCACGATGCTTCAAGATACCAAGCCAGTCTCCGGGTACACCATTCAGATCAGCGGATTTGCTACAGAACTTGCTGCGAAAGCATCAAATTGCCGAGGAGGAGTGTAAACTGCAGGAAGGAGGAAGGCTCCTGAAACCCATACAGCAGCTGTGACTGGCAGCTGTCTGCTCTACTGGAGCAGCGCGTGGCGTGAAAAGACTCGTGTACACCCTTAGAGCGTCGGAGGATTCGAGACATTCACAGCGCCTGCAGAGCTCGGCGGGCCCGGACCTTCAGTGACGGAGATCAGAGGCTCAAAGACACCACTCCACTCCAAGAGCTTCACCGTCTCCCAAACTCTGTGCTGACCAAGGAGCTGCTTGTGGACGCTGGAGCTTTCCACGGCAGTGCCTCGCTCCAGGTACGACAGACAGGCAGGCTACTGCGGCTACTTGTAACTTTGCCGTGGTCATAGTGCGCCAGATGTGTCTCCGAACTTTCGACCTCGACTACTAAAGAAACCTGATGAGGCTGTCACCTCAAGCAGCTTATGATCAAGCTGGCAGTCACCAGGGTTCAGTTTCGGAGGAGTTGTCTTTTCAAGAAAGTTTAGGGGGGCTTGGAGCCCAGCTCAGAGTGCAAGCGTGCTAGACGGATAGACACGCCAGGTACCTCCTAAAATCCTAAACATTCCCAAACTGAGGGCCCTCAATGCCAGGCTGTCGGACACGTGAAAAATGTGAGCAATGTGTGTAGCATGATGATACATGATGTTGCCGTGCACTGCGGAAGCTTCAGTTGCACAGGCTAGGCGGCTAGGCCCCGCACCTGCATGCCGGGCATAGTCTGTTGCTTGGCCATGAGATCGTTCGGAGCCATCTGTGGCCAAGAAAACGGCTGGGCATTAACATGGGGCAAGCGGACACCGGACTCCAATCTGCCATGGCTCCTAGGAAATCTCCGACTGCACAACCTGTGATGCACTTCTTAAATATCTTTAGCAAGCCATACCGAGCCAGCAGACGCCCGCAAGGAACTGCTGCAGCATTTGGACGCTCGGGTGCCGCTGTCGCACCAGGTTGTAAACGTGCGGAGAGCAGAGCCGGTGACCGACGAAGCGGTGCCAATCGAAGTTGACTTAGAGTCCAACAGAAGAGTCGGGAAGCCAATGCCGAACACGAAAGCACAAAGTGAACAGAAGCTGGGACCTGCATAAGCACAGACTTCGAGGTTGCGCTTAGAGCAAGTTGCCGCGTTGCGGGACCGACCTATATAACATTTGTGTCAGGAGAAGTTCGACCGTTGCTGACCTTGAGGGCATGAGTTTAAGTTCCCATCCCAATCACCTGCAGGAATGCCGGGACGATCTCAGCGCTCACAAGATGCCCACCATGGGATCCAGAGCATGGCGGCAAAGCAACAAAAGGGCTGAGCGAACGGAACTGTTGCCCTTTCATTGCCTGAAGCAGGACTTGCCGGATCCCATGGCCGGCGATGCTAGCGATTTGTGGGTGAAGTGGGCCAGTGTCTGGGACCACATCCACATCGGCCAACAGGTATCACACGGGAACATCCAGTCGCACTTGGCACTCGAATCGAGACTTCATTCAGAGCCAATGACGACTCTCCTAGAACGTAGAGGAAGAGCCGAACACTCACGCAGATGCAGGACTATCTTTGCAGCTGCAAGACAACCGACAGACGTCAACTTGGGATCTTGCCTTCCCTCACCAGGAAGCCAAGCAAGTGCCCTGCCTGGGACTTGCAGGGTGCCACCTCCGGCGACGTCTCCGCCTTGCATGTCAGGTGCAAGATTCGTACAAGCATGCTGGGATAACACCAAAACTGAACTGAGTTACTTCAATTTCCTTGAATAGCTGCGCACACAGACATCGCAAGAACAACTTGAAGGAGCAGCGTCTATGGCTATGGTACGCAGCATCAGTGTGGCAAGGTACCAATAGCAAGTTGATGCAGCTGTGTATGGTTTAGACGCAAATTCTCATTCTCTCGTGTTCTCTTGAGATTCCGATGCCTGGTCCTCCCGACAGTTCTAAGGAGCTTAGAGAACATCCCGCGACAGCCTTTTCACCACTCAGCTTAATCGGGAAGATTGAGCTCGTAAGACTGTAAGCCCACGGACAGAAGAAGGCTTCGACTCGTCCCTTGCCGCCTGCGCTGGTGGACCCTGCTTGGCAATCAGCGCAGGCGCTGCTTTCGGTGGCGGCGACGAGAGCTGGCCAGGGATGTCGTGCTGTCTGCTACTCAGATCGAGCCTCTTTGTGTCCGCTTCTTTTTGGATTCTACCTTCATTCTCAGCTTCGAGCGCAGACGATTGGAGTTCTGACGTGCGCCGGAGGCCGTAGAATTGGCACACACCGCTGTAGCTTAGATCCTTCTAGCTGGGATTGCTCCAGATAGTCCTAGCCATTTGCGACGCTGAACTTTTGCATGTCCCTGGAAGCCCTGAAGGACTTGTCAAACTGCATCTGACCGAGCTCTAAGCAAAACGATGCATTGAATTTCAGAACCGCAGCTGCAGAAGCAGCACAAGGCAAACACGGTGCCTTCCACGGGGGCACCTGGAATGCGCAGCCAAGCTTTGCGGCATGTGCCGTTTCTTTTTCAGTTGCATGACTTGTGGTTTATCACGGCGACGGTGCCTAGACTAGGCACCATCTGCCACTAAGTGGCAGATGTGTTGTCAAGCTGCCTGGAACCATGGTGTGAGTGGCACCTAGCAGAAGATCCTAGCACCACCTAGTACTACAATTTGCGCACTGCTGCAGCCTCGCGGCCTAGCACTCAATTCAAGATCTTCCAGAATGGACGATACGATCTGAGTAATTGAGGTTCTAAGGGAGCAGTGCCCCCCGGTACTGGCTTGGCGCCGGTGGTCGGAAGTCGTGTGGGTTACCTTTCTTGCACCGTCGACATCCAGAAGCATCACCCTGCCGTAAGCAGCTCCGCAGTGGTATGCTTCAGTCAGGCTTCCCGAGCATCGCGAGGTTGTCTCAGTGTGATCCCGAATTGAGGGCCAGGCAGCTGTGTCAGCGAAACTTACATGATGCGGTGAAGGCACGATTCGGAGACTGAAGCGAAACTCATAGAGGCCCACACCGACATCGGCAGCTCCGAAGGCATGGCTCCGTTGCCGGAAACCTCAGGAGAACAACAGAACCTAAACCACGAAGCCTCAGGGCACAAACTGGATCTCTGCAGCAGTCACGCGCGGAGCATCAACCTTCTTCGAACCCTCTGAGCGAGGCGCATCTGGAAGAAGAAGCCTGCAGTGCCATGGACAGCTGAAGTCTAGAATTCGGCATTCCGCGCGTGTTCAACCTGCAAGGTCTCGGATGTAGAAGCTATGATCTTTATGACTTCACGATGATGCGGTAGCGAAGCTGCTGGAAACCCTGTGCCAGGGTTGCCCCGAGAGTATCCGAGAGTGTCTTACTTCATGTGTGCGGGTTGGGACGTCCGCGTCCTGGTCCCTTATGGGAGTCGCAGGGTCGTTCGCGCGCTTGTCTCCCCTGCTGCCAGGTTGCTGCCTTGCCGGAGAATGCGTTTCCCATCTCTGCCTGAGGCCCTGGCCCGCCCATGGCCTTAGGGGCCTTGGGCGGCACGACGCTGCCCGGGGCAACTGGCGGCACTTGGCGTTCGACCGGAAGGCAGGTGTCTGACTAGAGTTAGACTTCAGTAATCAATTCTGGTTCGGATACGCGGCATTTGGGGGCTGATCGAGCTGCACACTTGATCATGCTCCCGGCACAGACGGAAATACTATCCGAACTAAATCCGGTCACACCATCACTGTAGCATTGCTTCTCGCAGATTGAGATGTCAGATGGTGTTTTTATGAGTGCTGATGCTTCCGAGTGCTTCGGCTTACTTTCGTGATCTTTGTGCCAGTCAGAAGCAGCTCCTGCAATTCCCAGCATGGTCAATAAATGGCTTTGCCGGCTGCAGTCACGTAATTGTGAAACGTTCGGCAGTGCCGAGGCATCTAGCACGGACAAGTTTCCTGGTACGTGGCAGTGTGCTTGGTGAGTCAAAACTCGTGAACCCGAACAACTTCAAGCACACCGCACCTTTGGGCGTATCACCAGGTCCCGCGGGGGCAGCAGGAGCGGGCCTCTGTGACATGTGTTTTGTTTGGGTTTAGAGCTCTCAAGGTTTTCAGTTGCCACCGGTCACCGTAGCATAGGCTCAGATGCGGAGCGAGAACTTCCTGCATGTTCTCTCCGAGCCCGAGGCTTGAAGGGCGGCGGCATACCCGGCATGCCCGGGATGGGTGGCATTCCTGTGCTTCGTTTTCGTTTACAGTGGGTGTTGGGTGAACCTCATGCGCATAGGCAGTTGTAACGACCCATGCCGCGGACTACTCCGCCCATGCTTCGAAAACCCTATGCGAAAGACGGTACCAAACAATGTATTTCCATGCGCAACCTGGCATGGAAACGAATTGAGGAAGGCAGACTTCTGACGAACTCATGTGTCTCGTATATACATGAGCTATGGTTTGCTTCCTTCGTCCTCATGATATGCTTTATATCTGTGTGTGTATGTACTATTTTGACGACCAATCGCGAAGACATGGCAAAAGCCGGCCTGGCAGAGATGCTAGTGCAGCTGCCGCCTCGTGAGCGCAAAGATGACAAACTCATGAGGCAAAGAAACTCCACCGGGATAACCATGGCTTTGCCGTCAGCTTTTGCAACATCGCTTTCCGCAACTTCAACAGCGACACAGGATTGAACAAAGCAGGGCAAAACCAGCTGCAAATAGGCTTCGGGTGCTATACTGCTTTCTGCAAGATCCCCCACATCAAAAAGTGGGTATTTGTAGGTTAACCGTCGGCCCGCCCCCTTTCTCCAACGGAGTGCAGCCTTCCACAGCGTCTGCAGCGCGTCAGCCCCTTGTGGAACCGCCTTATGTAAGCAGACAGCATGGTGTACAACTTAGCACTTTTGGAGTGTACATTTGAGAGCGAATGTCCTCTGAAAGCAATGTCTACGGCTACCTCTTTCAATGCGTTCAAAACCGCTCGCTGGCGTCGCCGGGGTCCCGACCATTTTGCCTGGTGGCATTCCCGGCGGGAAGCCATCTGCCTTGTTCGAAGCATGACTGCCCAAGAACCGTCGACCACACCGCAAGAATTCGACACACCGCTCAAGAATCCTCTCTGCACTGCCGAGTCACTGCCCGCTTCATGGCCCGGAAAGGAGAAGGGACAAAACGAGGAGCGAGGCAACTAGCCTAGGTCGGCCCCTGAAGCCCAGCCTTCATATCCTAAGTCCTAGGACTCCTAGGTCGTAGTGCAATCAATGTCCAATGATATCCAATGATCATGACTCATGACGATGTGGGCCATGGAACCCACAGGCAAGTCGCTTTGCCGTGATGCTATTCGGGACTCCGTTGCTCCGACCTCTAGCACGACACCTTGCAAAAAAGGCTTCAGCCTAGGCCTGCGACCGCGCGGTTGCATTGTATCTACAAGTGCCCCGGTCTTTTTGTGCCATTCCATGTCATTGCTGACCCCTGTGAGCACGACGCGGCCAGCAGCCAGTAGCGACGGCAGCGAGAACCGATAAAAAACTTCTGCTCCTCGAGGCTCCAAACCGTGCCGCTGCTGTGCAAGTAAGATTAGTCAAGGTGAGCGCCGTAGTTAAAAAGCACCGAGGAGGTTCAGTTGCATGAATGCCTAAAGCTGACTGTGCACAAAGGCGACGGCCTATGTAGAAGATCACAAGCCTTGGTAAAGGAAAAAGACCGAATAATTTAGCGAGAAGGACGGCAATGCTAGAGGCTGCGACGGTGACTTGATAGCGTGCGGAAGATGAGGAATGCTTTCCCGAGGGTGTGGAGGTTGCCACACAGCTACACATCCAATTCGGGCTGCGGCTCGCTGCCTCAGAACATGATGCAGCCCCAAAAGCGAAACGACTCGTTTTCGAGCTCCAGGCTCTCCGCGTGGGGTGAAACTGGGCATGCCATTGTCCCAACTCGCCTGCACCTAGGATCAGGTCGCCTCGAAGCCAAGAGTGGAAAGAGCCTGAAGCGACTTTCTGCAGATGGCTCTCGGAAGTCACGCCGCCATCTGCAGCTGCACATGGTCACAAGATCCCGTCCGGATTGAGCGACTTTGGGTTATTAGGGTATGCCGGTGGCGGTGTGGGGAGGGCGGCAGGGGGGCGGGCGGTCTTCAAACCCAACTAGAAAGACGTGTCCATCATCTTCAAATCCAACGAGCACACCTCTGTCAATCCGGTTCCGCTGGCGGGGTGGTGTAGCGATGCCTGGCAGTGCCAGCGACCAGAGCACAGAGCCAGCCTAACCAAGAAAACAAACCGGTACAGCTAGTTTTAGGGTAGTCTAAGCAGTCTAACCCAAAAAAGACACAATACGCCAAACTAAAAGCTTCCGGACTCTCAGAGGCCCATGAAACCCTTGGTCCGTCGCCTCGCCCTGGCGCCTCGTGGCCCGTCGGCAGCCTGCAGTCAAGTCTCAGCTTCTGCGCGAAGTCCTGTCCCCTCCCATAATTTATGCTGCTCGACTGTTTCCTGATACCTGGTATGTGCAATGGGGCCGATATTGTATTGCTTAATTTATGTCCCACGCAGCTGACGATCTCCCGAATGCCAGAGCTTGCCGCATTCTGATTCCGTATCTTCTGGAGCTCAGTCCCTTTTAACCGCGACTGCCGACAGCCAGAAACGGCAATTCCATCCTCCAAGCTGACACACGACACTACAAACCATCCGAAAACCGAATACAAAACCTCCACTTCTCAAACCGCCCAAACAGAAGCAGAATGTCGTCTTGAACTCTCAGCCAGCAGACGGGTGGGAATGGCGCAAAGGGAGGCTCAGAGCCCATGGCCGCCTGGCGTCGTGGAAGGCAGAATGGACATGAGGGTTTACGGTCTGGTCTGCGCGTCACGAAATAAGACGCTATAGCATCCAAGGCCGTGATGGGCATTCTGAGGGTGTCAGACTGCCGTCTGCGTCAGATTCTAGACGATTCAGTTGCACGCTTTGTGCTCGGCTGTCCGTCCTTGTGGTGTCGCGATGCAAATGCGGTTCAGTGTGTGAAACATTGTGAAACTCAGCAAGAAAACGACTCCCACAAAAGCATCGCCACCAACAGCATCCACGTCTCGAATAGTAAAAGCACTGCGGCATTAAAACCATCCGAAGAAGCTGAGGACGGAATCGTGAGCCTCTTCACTTTCCTCACCCGCAATGCCCAAGCTGCTGTTGTCGTCCATCACAGACGTGTCCTGGAACAGCGCCGAGCATTTGTGTTTAGGCAGGCTGAGGGTCTGAACCGGGCCTGCAAGAAGATACAACACCAAGTTCACAGGATGGGCCTTTATGCTACTCGCGTCAAGAACATTACCGTGCTGCAAGCAGCAGTCTGTTGAACAGAAAGCCATGGGGTTGAATGAAACATGCTAGATGCACTACAAAGACATATGAAGCATTGCAGAGCCCTTCCACCAAGGACCAATCTCTAGGACAGAAAACTGCAGGATCTATCAGTCTCTTGCCCCGGGGCCTCTTGGCTTAATTCGCCGTAGGGATCATCGGCGATCGCAGGTTCCGTGTAGTCCGGCCTTTGATGCCCCTCCATTCGCTCTCTCTCTTTCTTTCGCCAGGGCTGTGGTGCAGGGGAGAGACCCCCTACACCGCGCGCAGGTGCTCTCTCTCTCTCTCTGTCTCTTTCCGTCTAGATCTCAGAAAGAACTCTGGATCTCGCTTAACTGAGCCAAAGCGGGAAGGCGGTCTCTACACCCTGCCTCCCGCCTGCCGCAGGGCTGGACTGTCCACCAGCACATTGGTTTCTCAACATGCTCAATGTGGAACACGCTGAGGAACCCCCCCAGCACACTGCACGTGCATAGTGACCGGGTGAACAGTGGGCCCTCATGTACGGGATGGCAGCCCAGGCTATTTATGCAGACAGCCGGCCTAATTTGGGCCACCAGCTTGCTTCATAAGCCGCGTCTTGTTTTTGCTGAGAGACTGTCTCTGTTCAACAACCACTGACCCTACCGCACAATCTCACGCATGTACCCAACTGTCTCGCTCACTCTCTCTCGTTGGCTCTTTGTTCTCTCTTGTTTGATTGCTTGCTTGCTTGCTGGCTTGCTGGCTTGCTTGCCTGCTTGCTGGACGTTTGAAGTTTGGGGCCCTCATCCCTGTGAGCAACGAGCTATGCCAGAGGTCTGACTTCTGTTGAAACATGGAAAAGCGTGTGGAAGCCCACGATGCATGCGGAGAGCCCCGCTGTCCCCGAGTGAGTAGAGTCCCTGGAACATCTAGCCCCGCTATCGGAAGAACTCGCATTTGTCGGTGCCGTTGGCTACGGTTTCAATTTAAGGCATATCCGACTTGGCCCAGTGGCGTGGAGGCTGTTTTGCCTCTCTCTCTCTCTCTCTGCGTCTCTCCCTGTATCATTCTGCATCCACCTTTTCTCCACACGCACAATCTGCATTTCTAACGGGCATCTGCGGGTGGAATGCTCAGGTAGGTGCAAGCAGACTCTGCAGATGGCGTCACTGTGAGATGCCACACTCACAGCAGCATATCCAAACCAACTTGCCTGTTGCAATCACAACTACTCGGACCGGGCAGCAGGCAGTGGGGCAGAAGGGTACGGCAGCGGCCATGTCCACCTGGGCAACAAGAAGGCCGTAAACAGCAGAGCTCAAGACTCAAGGTTGAGGGCACGCAAACCGATCATCTTGTCAATCTGCTTCAATAACAAAAAATCAACAGCAGCAGGAAAGTCCAACAGATCCCAAATCCCACTGCTTCGAACAACTTGGTCAATCCCTGCACCCTACACGCTTAAGCCCGCAATGACCCTCCCACTCTAAACCTCAAGACCGGGTCCAGGCACCAGGACGCGCCAAAGACAGTAACGAAATGGTTGTAGAATGTCGACCGTGTCCCATGTGTTCGCTGGTACCTCGCACTGAACCATGCTTGAGCCCTTGGGCCCTTGAGCAAGAAACACTCACTCTCACTCATTCATCAGGCGACATATACCCGCGTTGCTGCAAACGTTGTAGTGGGCGGCGCACGTCTCGACCAACGTTGAGTTCATCTGAATCGACTCCACCTGCTCCTTGCGTTACGGTCTCACACAAACTCACACACACTGACTCACACTGGATCCCTTCGGTGGCCCGGATCTACAGTTCGGACGCGAAGCGAGGGTCCGGCGTCAAACATGTTGAAAGCCTACTCGCCAGGGACCAGGGTGTGAGCTTCACTTTGACTTGCGAGCCCGTTTCGAGCTGGACACTGGCCGCCGATTGGCATACTCGCGATGGCTGTGTTCAAGAACCTGGTTTAATGTTCCGTCTCGACCAGATGAAGCATACATTGTAGGCCTTTCCGTTGAGTGCGAAAACGCACGAAGCTAAAATACAAAAACGAGAAACACTATCATCACTATCCTTCGCACCGTGAATCAGTGCCAGGGATAGAGCAAAGCTCTGAGACATCATCCATTGTTGGCATACCAGGCGCGGCGATCCTACGCAAACTTCTAACACTGGATCCTGCGAAGAGAGCTGCTCCTCAAGCTCCCGATGCTACAAGTCTCCAGCCTGGAGGAAGTCACTCACGAAGAGTACGGCAGCGAAGCACTCGACTGCCACCATCCCAGTGCCTAGGATGGTCAAGCGAGAACAGGGCCATCCGAAGCCCCGGTGTGCACACACCAGGCCCCCGGCAGATCAGCGACGCCGAGCCGGGAGGTGGTGCATCCGACCAATTCTTTTGGCTCTGGGCACGAGGCTTGGGTGAGGTCTTGTTCCCGGCTCAAGCTCGGGGTGTTGGCTTATGCTTCGACTTTTCATGGCACGACAGGAGGAACACCGCTGCAATCTGCAAACCGACGGCACGGTGCAGGCTGAAAACTTAAAGGTCTAATCTCCCTCTCAAAGCCGAAGGTGGCAAGTCTGGGAGCCCCTACCCACAGCCAGTAGAAGGCACTCCCGGCGAGGAGGACCAGAGTGAAGACCGCGCTCGCGCAGGTGTAAACTGCAGGCCAAAGCGGCAATCCACTCTTCCCAACACACGTGGCAAAAAATATCTGAAGCTGAAGCCCAAGTCGGGCCAACGGAAAGCTGCAATGAACATCTGCTCCGGAGGCCTAGGAAGAGGATGAACAACTTCTGGTTCGAAAGACCCACGCAGTTGTTGATCCAGGGACAGTGGTGGTCCTGCCACAAGACCCTTCGAACCATGTGGGCTGCAAGCGCATCCGTATCTGCGCTGCGAAAGCAAGCGCCATACCATGCAGACTTTGTAGGCCCAGGACTCCTATGGTCGTCCTATGGTCCTTCCTATGGCCTCCTGGATTCGGGGTCCAGAGTTCGCGGTTCTCACTCTGATAGATGGCTAGGCTCAGAAATGCCACCGAAGTCCAACTCGTTCGCAGGAGTCGCTCTTGCGCCCTCGCGGACCCTTCACTGTTCACCCTTCAAGGTCAGAAGATCGCACAATGCCCTCGACACAATACACGGCACACACGGTCCATCCGAAAGATGCAGCGCTTGCACCTTGGCAGTTAATTCTTGGTGGCATTGCCGTGCTGTGCAGAAAGGATAGTACCAGGTTGGGCACTGCCGGAACGTCGCTTCTCGCCTTGAATACGAAGGATCGTCTTCGGGAGTCCTTTATGCGACTACATGTGATTCACCTATGTAGGAACCGTATTCTTTCCAGGACCTGGCTGCGGACTCGAGCGTCGATTCTCTAATCCTAAACGCAAAAGGGCGAATGACATCACGATCCACTTTTTGTGCTACCAGCAAAGGCAGCGGCGGATTGGCCGCGGCTACTGTGGCCAGCTGCGTTTTCACTGTGACCGGCAGTGGGCTCCCTAAAGGCTTTGCCCGATATGGGTACATTGCCTGTAAAGCGTTGGGGGTGTTCAGACGAATACTCCAAGAGATTGCAAGTCAAGGGGCGTCTTGCAATGATGTGCTCTGGGTGGCTTCCAGCGGCCCTGCAGAGCAAAGACTTGCTTAGGTTTGTGGGTTTCGGAACTCCGCATCTTGCTCTCCAAAAGTTGGTACATGCGCACACCTGCATGTAGCTTCCAGTTGTCGGACAAGCAAACACCCATGCTCCCTGCCTGGCAAAGTTTGCAAACCCGCGGATTCGCGAAGTCTGGCGGCGCGGCACTGACAGAGGGCACAGGCTAACGGCTGAGGCACAAGCTTTACGAAAAAGCTGTTCCCTGTCTTTGCGGACTTGTTCGTGAAGCGTGCGTCTCCGAACAAGATTGGATTGGAGATGCATAATCATGCAGACAGGACATCTCAGCACGGACACGTGCTGGTGATTTTGGTGCACGGTAGTCGCTGCATCGGCCGCAATCACTGCCAAGACATGGGCGGGTGCACTGCCATAGATGGAACGAAGTCATAGAAATGTGGATTCGGACATGTATCGCGCCACAACTGGACACTCAAAGCATCAGCATAAACTACCAACTTACCCACCTCACTGGTATAGTCCCGGGATCTGTCGTCACAGCACGAAAATGTGAAAACCTCGACAAACGAAGACTTCACAGTGGTTAGTGGCCCTTGGCAATCCGACTGGTCTGCTCATGTCCGCTCCATGAGAGAACGCGTCTTCAGAGACTCATCTCCAAATGTTTTGGATAGCTCCCGCTCGTTCGATCCTTCTGGCTGCCTGCATGCAAAATCGAGCCTGCTAAATCTTGGACCTCCAAAACTATGCAGAACTCCACATATTACGGAAGCTCTGCTACCACAGTGAATCTGAACCTGCGCTCCTACTTGCGGTTACAGCAAACGGGGCAAGGCAGGTGTCGCTTCCATCGATTTTCCAGACGTCACTAGAGTCTGCAGTCGAACAACCTCGCGCGTAGCACCCAAATTATGCTTGGGGAGCCATCCAAGTGCACACTTCCCGCTATCATACCCCGGCCCCATCCGCTGGGAGCGAAGTGTTGAAGGCCAAGCCGTGCGGAGTCGGGACGCAAACAACGACAACGTTCACCTACACGATCCTACACGTGCAACTGCCTCTCTGACAGCTGGACCAAAGAGCCGCTTTGCTCTGGGCTTGCGGCCAGGACAAACCCAGCAACAGCTGGTACCTTTCACGAGCTGTTGCTTCACGAACCTTCACATCTTCACAGGTTATACAGACAAAGTTTTCTGCTGATCAATGCCAGTGAACAAAGACGGAGCATGAGGTGCTCGTATAGGAATGGCACCAAGAACGGAAACAAGGGGCAGTGCCAGTAGCATCGAAGCTGCCCTTGAACACTTCCGGAATGCTAGCAGAATATGCAGTGCGAAGTTTGCGGTTTCTCATCTGCCGCAGTGCACCGACAACGGCGAGCGCGATGCACAGAAGCAACCCCGGAAATCTGAGAGCCAAACATCACGAGCAGTGCAGAGCCCAGATCTGTGAGTGGGACCTAGGTTGCAAATCGGGACTTCGTCATTACACCAAGGCTTTTCTTGCGCTAGCAGCACTGCTTTGAAGCTGACGAGAAACCTCAATCGACTCTTCCAAAGTTGAGTTTTGACTCGAATTAGCGGTAAAGGCTACGAGTCTGCGAGCTTCAATTTTCCGCGACGAGAATTGCGCGACAGTGGATGAGGCCGATTCAATCGGCCTCATCCACTATTCCTGGCTTCGGCTGTAAAGTTGGGTACGCAGGTGTTTAAGGTTCAAAAGGTTCTGGGCTAAAGCTGGCAGTTTTGGTTGCAGGATCTTGGTGGCTTTTCGATAATTACTCAGAATCTTCTCATCACCCTGGTCCTTCGTTCACGACGGCTACATGACATGAAAACAGGAAAAAGCAAGCCCGACCCGGCCCTTTGTACAATCAGCTGTCCCAAATGCAACCAAACGACCTCAAATCAGAGACCCATGCTACTGCTAATGTTTCAAACTCCTTCGAACCTCATCATTGCAGCAAAGCGACCAAGCTAAATCTTGGCCGACTCGTAGAAAACCAAGCATACTGCACAAGCACGGCTATTGCTTACGGGGTAAGCACCAGTATGCATTAGTTACATTAGTTCATGCTCCTCGGGGGCTGCAGTGGAGATCGGGCGAGGTCAGTGATGCTCACAGCGAGAGCTAGCTGGTGTTGGCCACAGATGCAACGTGCTTCAACTATAAATTGACAGGCTGGCAAGGGGAGTCATTTGCAGAGCGTTCTCGGCACCATCATCCACATTGCCACGGAATCGGCTTGAAGCACACACTAATAAGTTCCAAGAAGTACTCAAGCCTGAAAATGCTGCCTGGAAAGCACTCAAAGTGAGACAAGTGGACGACTCGTGGACTCAAAAGCAACTGCTGTTGTGCAAGAATCAACGGAGGATGCCCCGGCCCGGGGCGGCCCTAAGAGCCCACCGAAGCCCCATCAAACCCCACGACGCCCCCCTTCATCTCTTGGGGCCCCGGCGAGCACATAGCGGACCTCGGCAATGGCAAAAATGGCAAGATTAGCTGCCCCTGCTCTTGAAACCCTTGGCAAGCATGCGCGAAAAATGGACCCAAACCATGCATCGCTTATCTCGAAAGAGCGTGGGGCCCCGCAGTCTCTTTGCAGACGGCACAACTCTCCAAGCGCCCCGCCACCACCCAGTCCGTGAAGCATAAGAGCGCCCAGGTGAGAACCCTGGACAACAATACTGCCCCGTCAGATCGCACAGTAAGCATATCAAGTAGATCGGCCTGAGACATCATTACGCGCACACTCACTGATGTACGCACTCTCTCCAATCTAAGCAAGCTTGTGCACCCTCTTCTGATTCATGATTATCACGACTATCTGCTGGTTTCTTCTCTGGCTATCCACTCGGCTCTTCAACTTGTTTTGCAAGTCCCACGACGGCGACGACGCTTGTTTGGAACGTTCGCTTCCCCACCCGGGGCGGAAAACCTTCGGTGATACAGAGCTACGGGTTGGCTGTTGACGCCCGTTTAGATTTCCAGCTGCAGGCCTACATTTCGTATGGATCTTGACATGTCGGAATTGTTTTGCAATTGTCTACTAGGAATCTAGTAGCCGAAAGTCTAGGACCTTGCGCAGTGCCAAAATCCTGGCATTCCTGGTTGACCGTATCTTTCGGCACATGGACGCGTATTTCAGCCGAGGCACGCTAAAGCTAAACCAAGAGCGTCGCAGTTCATCCTGGCGCAATGGGCCCAAAGTGCTTGAGGCCGGGGCAGGACCAGCTTCGTCTCCATGCCGAAAAGATTCTTATACTGTGTCCACCCCTTCCGGCACTAAAAGCTGCTTGCACTGGCACCGGACCTTTCTTTGCACATCGCGGTGGGATCTTTCTCAAGAGCGGTCTCGCCAAAACCGTGTATTGCGAAACGACCGAACATCCTCTTGGGGCTGACGTAGGCCGTGACCTGATCACAACTGCAAACTAATCTGTAACTTCTCTTCCTGACCTTCAGGCGAGACTGCTCAGCATGGTGCTTTGTGCCTGAGAAAGTGCTGTCCCAGCCCACATTGTGCGTGCGAATATAATAATCAAGGAGGCAAATTGGCGCCAGGTGCGCCCTTCACCCGAAGCGTTATAAGCAATCGCCGCCAGGTACCGTCTCGTGCCCTTCGGGCACAGCGAACCCAGCGGCGTCTCGGGGAGCCCAATGCAGATCAAGTTAGCCTTGTGCATACAGCAAATCAGCAGGCAACTTCACATCAATCAGGCCTGCTGACCATGTAGTTGTGCGAGGTGTGACCCTGAAGTGAGATTGGCTCCTTTCCAAAACCCCTACAAAACTTAACAGCTTCGGCAGACCCCGGCAGGAAGCTTCACGCCTTGAACTCAAAGTGACAGTCCTTGAACTTTAGACAAACCTTTGCCCGGCAGCTTTTATCGCATGCGTCTGGCACTCCCCGGGAAGACATCTCCCACGGCAAACGGGAAGGAGGCCCAGGGCCGCGGCCCACTTCAGCCTCGCTCTACGTCGGTTTGTTTTGGCGACGCTGTGCAGTCGCAAAAAAATCTCAGACCAAAGCAATGCATCCCATAGCACCCAAATCTTCCTGCTTGAAAGGCGAAGCTCCACTCTTTGTTGGAGCAGCGGAAAGCTCTGAGGTGGCTATCTCAGGTCGAAATCTGAAGTGTGTTGCTCTGGCTGCAGATTTCACAGTCTCTGACAGGCTCAGAAGGATCCCGAAAAGGTGTCCAGCCGCCGTGTAGTGGGCAAGTGCTTGAGCTTGCCTGGGATGTTGTCACCACACGTGGCTAAGTTTATCTCGTCTGATGCTTCTTGTGGACAACGTTGGGTAGAGTGATCCAACCTCCATGCATGTTAAGACGGTTGAACTAGTAGCGGGGAGAAACTAGCAAACGACCTTGGACGACTGTGTCGCCAGACTTCAACACCTCTCCTCGGCTTATGACACAGTTGACATCACTTCAGTGCTCATCGTGTCAACCCCAACGCGACACAGCCGGCTCTGTGAGCACCCTCGAAGAGCAGGCACAGTCACGGAGGCTGGTCAAGCCATCTGGCTTCGATGCACCTGCATGATGATAGCCCCACTGGTATCACTGCGTCATCCCTAGCGTTTCGTGCCTGTTCCTGAGCCTGGCTTCTACATTTGGTACGGTACTTGCCGCCCGTAGACGCGAGTGCCCTGCCCTCGCCGGGCCTTCACTGAGCAGAGATGGACCATCGCGAACGATGCGCTCGCCCTGGTTGGGGCAGTTGCACTCCGCGGTCGAACACTTCGAGTTCGCTTGAAAGGACTGCCCTGCAAAAATAACTATAAAGAGCACGCATTCGCAAGAAGGCGAAACCTGGCATGCATCGACCTGCTGCACATCAAAAGGAATGGCATCTTCGGCGCCGAGTCCGAGGACAGGCCTTGCAGGTGCCGCACGCCACGTCTCCTCAGTCCCAAGGTTCAGTCAGAGACCTTCGGACTGCTCTGGCTCGGCCCCCGAGCCTGCATAGCTGAAGGCCATGCTGGGCGCACCCGCTGTGCGATCGTAGTGCACCGTGTACTCCTAGACCAAGCAGCTTTGCAACGAGAAAATGTGCAGTGTACGAACCTAAGCGGGTTCTGGTTGCAGCTGCTTGCTACATTGCGCTTACTCTTCCATGGCTGATCGTCTGTTGTGGCGTCGGCATGCGTCGGCAGAGAAGCCGTGATGAACACCGAAATAGGGGTTTCGGGGTTCGAAAGGGGGTTGGCATTTGGAAACCCTGGTTGCGTCAACGCACAAGTCGAAAGCGTTTAATGGGGTTTGGACAGTTGGGATTGGCTGAGGGTCAAGGCTAAGCTATTGTCAAGAGTTGCCGCGCGGAAATCTGACTACGGAGCTTCCCCAGCTCAAGCGGGGACTCCTTTGCCATGTATCAGCTGCGAAGCTTACAAGTAGCTACGACCCGACCGCAACAGTCTCAAGTCTCAAGATTCCCAGGGGAGAATGCAAGCTGGCCAAGATGCGTAGAACAACGGCGTACCCATGATCCACACATCTCCTCGATTCTGGATGTCACGGGTAGACAAGGGCTTTGTAGACACAGACGGGAAGGATGATGCGGATGAGAACTACTGTCAACAAGCTGTTGCCTTACGGATAATTGACATGCTTCCGTTCTGCTCCGTGCGGTAGTCGTCCACCGCGAAGGCCGGCATGCAGACCTGCTCCTTCCTTACTCGACATTTATGTATCGGATTCCGGTCCGGGTGGAGGGTCTCCTGAGAGTTGGAAGCTGGGCACTGAAACCTCTAAGACTGGTTTCTCGGGGCTACAAGTTGTTGGGCTTACAGGGTTTCACACCTTTCGAGCGGGATATCAAAGTCGAGCAGAAAGAGCCTAGGATCTTGGGCCAGGGCCACGAGTCAAGACTGCTCGCAATTGAGTTAAATTCCAAAACAGACTTGCACATCGACAGACAAGCGACTTCGCCTGCATCCCAAGCATCCGGACAGAATCAAGCAGAGAGGTGGAGAGAGATAGTGAGGAGCAGTGTAAAGAGAGAAAGAGTAGAAAGAACTGCGAGAGAGATATACATCAAGACAAGGAAAGCGAAATGGCTATGCATGCATCAACGCATGCATGCACGGATGGACGCATGGACGGATGGACGGACGGACGGATGGACGGATGGAGGGATGGAGGGATGGATGAATGGATGCATGGATGATCATGGATGCATGGACGCATGGACACAGGGATGTATGGATGTTTGTGTATGTGTGGTGCGCACACATTCACACAGAAACATATATATATATATATATTATACATATATACATAGGCACAAACATGTAATGTAAATGTAGCTGTGTGTGCAATGCATGTACAGGTGGAAGCTCAAAGCGACAAGAGAGCAACAGAGAACGGGAGGCAAGCTATGCTTGCCTTGATCTGCCGCCTCTCCGGGCACAAGGCTTCAAGACTGGAGGGTCAACATCATAGCTTGGAGTTCAACACGTCAGTGCAGAGCTGCTGTTACAAAGGTGCCGGCTTGTAGCAACACTGACAATGGCCAAGAGCTACATAAGTGCTATATACAACACCAGTGCGCAGTACGCTGAGAGCAGAAGCAACAGCCCGTCCAAACCTCGTGCCTAGGGGCCGAGTTTGGAAGACCTGCCCGGCGAGAACATCTTGGGAGACTCCAAGCACAGGGACTCTGCGGACCGTAGCTTCGAACGTTTAAAGCGGTTTCATGGTGGTTCTGGACAGTTTCAGTTGCGCCCTCCACAACCCTGTGTCCGCTGCGTCGTTCTGTTTTGGAATCCGAAGGGGTCGCTTGCCTCCTCGCAGGTGCCCGAAACACCAAACCGAACGAAGCTCCCCAGCAATCGAGTTTCTCAATTGATAAGACTCGTGATCCAGTGGTCGCAAGCTTCGGAACGAAGGCTTTTAGAACTTTCGTATTGTGGAGAAGCCAGCTGTCACAAGCTCCGGACACTTCAGAAACCCCACAAACATGCAGTCTTTTACCGGGGCCTTCAACTATGGCGCGATGCGCTTCCCGGGGCCTCCATCGGAAGGAAGCCCAAGATATTCTGGATGTGCGGTGATGCCACGTCCATATTTGCCTGCGTGTATTGCAAGAGGAATTAAAAGAAAGGGATCAAGGCGCCCGGTGTATGAGGCTACGGAATGCCAGCGTTCACTCAACCCAATGTCGGCACACGACAAACAACATCAATAGCATGCGACTTTCTGCCTTGACCTAGGCAAGGGGTGCACGAGTCTAGCACATGGCCTTGGAATGCAATGGAATGAGTGGGATGGACTGGAATGGAAGTGGCTAGCAACAGTAGCTGCAGCCACCCACGCTTTTCCCCCCCAGCTCCGAGAACGTCATGGCCGCCCTCCGTGAAGGGTTCGAGAGCATAATGCAGACCAAGTCTTGACCAAGTTGCCGGGAAAGGAGGGAGGCAGAGGGAATGAGAGGGAGAGAGAGGGGAAGGAGGGAGAAGGCGGCTGGCAGTAGCCAGCAAAGCCACCGCCCGAGTGCAAGCACGAGTGAAGGAGCAGGAGCTTAGGAGAAAGCGGCTGGCACGTAGCCAGAAAAGCCGCCGAACGCTTGGAGACCAGAAAAGCCGCCGCCGCCGCCGCCGCCGGACGCTTGGAGACAGCCAGTGAGAAAGGGCCTGGCAGAAGGTGGCTGGCACGTAGCCAGAAAAGGCCGCCGTCGAAGGGAGAAGCGGTGCAAGAAGGCCGCGAAGGCCGCCGCCAGACAGAGAAGGCAGGCGAAGGACAGGACCCAGAAACCTCCGAAAGCCCCGAAGTGCCCCGAGTCAGCGTACATGAAAACAACATGTCCTACTTCTCAACCGCTGTCATCGCTGAGCATGAAAGCAGAAGCCGCCCTCACTCACTTTTGTGACATGCAGCTCGGGCCATGGAATGTTCTCTGAGCAAGCAAGCCTGAAGCCGGTAGCTGCTTGCGAAAGTGAAACACAAAAAGATGCAGCTGCAAGGCATGACGTCTTTCGGTCACCGTTGGCAGGGCACTGCCAAAGAGATGCATGGCAGATGCACGCAGGACTGCACAGCACATGCAGGTACTGCCAAGCCACCCACCCCTCTTACACAGCGGAGGCGCAGGGGCCGGCGGTGGGCCAGTCACAAGCGCAAAACGGGCCGCCCTACACGGTGGGGCAGTTGAAAGCGCTGGTTCAAGTGAGTCTGCAGCGCCCCGAGGACAACTGAGAAGGCACTCAAGAGGACCTGGCTGAAAGGGCCCAAACCCAGGCACGCAGGGCAGGGGGTTTCCACAAAAGGCCCCACGGACGGTGGCTCACTTGCACCCCGAACCCAGTAGACAAACTCGAGCAAGAGCGCGTCCAAGCACTGGAAAAGCAGCCCGAAAGTTTGTTGCAAAGCCCAGCGGCAGCTGAGCACTAGGAAGCGCCCTACAAGGAAGTGCGCTGAAGGACGCGACAGCACGGTGACAAGCACTGCAAACAAGAAGAGCTTCAGGTTGGAAACTCGCGCGAACAGCAGCCTGAGGTGACGCAAGCCTGCCCAAGCGGTCACGAGCCGGTTTGGCAACGGAAGGGGCGAGGCCGACACTGCGGGCAAGACAGGCTGAACAGCCCGGCGGGCAGCAGATCCGCCGGCTCAAGCGCACGAGTGGCGACTGCAGCCCGGGCGAAAAGGCGCAACTCTGGCTCTGCACAACGCTTTGCAAACCGCTCAAGCTGCACAAAGGACAAGTCTTTGAACAAGGTTCCTTTGTGTGGCCCCTGCTGGACCTTCTTCGAACCGTGGAGGGCTAGCAAGCGATCCATATGCAGACAGCAAGTCCGGCAAGTAGATGCGCGGGGAAGGCTTGCCGAAGCTTGAGCCGAGACTCGAAAACAGAAAATCGCTACCGTGACGGAAAAGAGTAGTGATTCTCCGCTTTGCTGCAGGCGACAAGGTTAACTGAATCTGACGGCTGAGAGCCAGCTGCACATAGTGACCTAACGTGCGCTCACTAGCCCAACGCCCCCGAAACTTAAGCCTAGAAATTTCCATCCCCATCACATGTAGGTGAAAAGCGCCCCGAGCACGCAAAGAGGCAGGCGTAGAACCCTGGTCGCTGACACCTACGGCTTGCGAGACCTGGCGGAACATGGATTCGGAAACGGCGTGGGCCCCACGGCCACAGCGGGTCTTTTGGACGCAACTGCGCCAGAATGCATTGCAAGGCATGGCAGCAGGGAGCATGCTCGACGAGAACAAACTGATGCCGGCTTAAGTGTCGCCTGTTTTTGGGCGCTTCAATCCGGACCACGGCGCCTGCTGATGCAAAAATCCAAGAATCTGGCAGAGAAATGTGGCATGCACACAACTGCAGGATTTCACCCGGCCTCAGCAAGCCAAAGAATCCCAGTTCTAGCGCAGCCGCAAAGCAGCGCCACACGAGCTGCTGGCCAGCTTCACAGACAAGAGCTTGCGCACGAGCAAACACTACAAACGCAGCCAAAACAGAAAGCGGCAAAGGCGGCCGGACCCGGACCTCAGTGGCCTCCTCCCAAGCAAGCAAAGTTTGCCAAGCACACGGCAGGCGGCGCCGATAGTGAGGGTAGAGCAACTGAACCACTAAAAGACCGTGCTTTGCCACGCTGAGGAACTGCGGTCCTCGGCTATCATATGCCCAGTTAACGAAACCTTCCAAGCAAGCATCAAGAAGCTTGCGCCGCTTGGAAACGTGCTTCAAGGAGCTGCCGGCATGCGACAGGTATTCTTGCAAGAGTCGGTACCCCTTGACGAGGCGGTACCTGTAAGCAGTGGACAAGTGGCTGCCTCTCAACGTCATGTTTTCAGAAGCTGACGAAACTAAACAACTACAGTGCACATCACTGACTTGAAGCTGGGCAGAACTGCTGATCTCCAGCGCAAACTTCGATTGCAAGCACTCTTTGTTTCTACTGAGAAGCATGATTTGGATTGGGGCTTGCAGGGTGATGCTTGCATGGCCAGGATTTCTGCTTCTGTCAGGAGGGCACGTAACCCGGCCGTGGGGGTTAAGGGCTTAGGGACAGGAGCATTACGAGAAGGATAGTCAGCTGGATTGCTCTTGGTGCTCACCCAGACATGGACTAAAGACTTAAAACCAGCCACACTGTGCGCAAGGACCCTGCGAAGCCAGGAGTTGAGCTTCCTCGACGAACTGCGGCCTTTGGCCCACGCAGCGCAAACGACGCGGGAGTCACAGAGGTTGACCAGGCGTAAACCATCAGAAGACTGTGCGATTGCAATCTTAAGCTGCTTCACCGCAACTTTCATTTCCTGGACATTGATGTGGCACACTGACTTGAATTTTGATCGCTCTGTGACTCTCCATCTAGCGCAAAGTAGAGCTTGTTCAAGCTCTTGCGGCGCTGACACGAGCTCGGACGACGGTGCAAGAGCGCCTGAGGCCCAGTCAAGTCTGACAGCTTCACCCTTATGAACACCAAAACGATAGCACATTTCAGTGAGCTTGGACGGCAGCTCTGCAACAGTACGTCCAGCGTGGGTGGGCGTAGCGTCCGTGGCACTGACACGATTGGAAACCGGCCACCGAATGCATGCATGAGCGAAGGGCAGCAGCAAACTAGCCCACAAAGGTTCTTCTTGGCACCTTTGTGGAAGAGGGCTTAACCTATTCTTAAGTAACTGCTGAATGACCTTATATGTTTCTTGGAACACAGGCATGCATTCACGCCGATGCATAAAAGGATGAACATATAGCCCAACCAATCGCTGCAGCAACTTCCGGTTCACTCGGGGCAACTGGAGCAACTGCCTGCTGGCAATTAGCAAGTGCCTGAGCTTGTGAACTGGCGCGCCTACTCTTCCGGAACTGCTGTCGACGTGAGTGCCCCAAGCTTGGAAGCTGAAAGCCTTGGTAACTGCCTTTTTTGCTGAAACAGGAACTTTAAGGTCTTCATAGTGTCCCCGCGATGACCCTAGAATGTTTTCATCCCTGAGAGTATGCTGACAACTACCTTTAGGAAGCTTTTGCAAGACAGTGTGGTCATCAATATATAGCCCTTCCCAAGTAGAGCCGGCCGGAGCAGGCCTGCCGTACTGAAGCGTCTCAGCTTCGCGTAAGCAACCGGCCTCCTTTAAGATCGCTTCGTGAGTTCCTTGAGCTAAGCAAACCCCATTGAGATCACCCATAGGGATGGTCCGTAAAGCAAGAAAGTAACGGCGATTTGGTTCAGCTCCAAACTTGCGCAACTGAGAACCTGAAAGAGGCCGTCCTACTGCATTGCGGGGGATCCAACCGTCATGGTGCTTCAACAGATGGAAGTAATTCGAAATGTCGTCAGCACTTCCACGGATGGATTCCCACGGGTGGAGCAGCAGCTGGGTGAACATCGGGCCTTGCGGTGAGACTGCCCAGGACAGTCGCTGCTCTGTGGAATTCTGAGGTCGCCTGTCAGTGATTAAGCGATCAGAATCAACTTTGTGAGGAACTGCGAAAAACCCTGCAACGACAGGCTCGCCGGATTTACTGCGAAGTACATCTTTTTCAGAAACTAAAACAGCCAACCCTCTATCAAGTAACCGAATGGCAATCTGAAGCTTATTTGCAGGGGAAACTTTGTGAGCAGGTTTAGGTCTGCGGTATGTATCCTCATTAGGCTCGGGGACCCATTCCGGCATTGTGAGGAACTGCGCGAGCCGTTCACCACGCAGGTGATCTGCAAGATCAATCACAACTCCCTTGTCTGGCAAAGAAACACGGTGAGGCAAGACATCTCCGGCATGCTGTGCTAAAGAACCAAGATCTACAAACCCATGTCGGTCGTAACATCGTGCACGTGCAAACTCGAGCTGTTCAAGAAGGGAGGCAATGCCTCGATTTGGGCCTTCAGGGGCTTTCACTCGACAAAACTTCCAACAGTCGTCGAACAAATTAATAGCATGATCACTATGCCTAGGTGTCCAAGGTGAGGACACACAGCGTTGCGCAGCCTCGGAAATGGCAGAGTCGCTAAGGGGGCAACCAACTTCGAAGTAGTTGAACAACCCCCAAGCCACTACAACCCAGTCCTCAGCAAGCTTCATGCCTCGCCTCCGTTTTCGGTTGCCGGTGCAACCAAGGCTGCGACCTACGGTCTCGGGCAGTGGCAACGGAGACGGAAAGAGAGAAAAGTCAAAACTGCGAGCCTTGAGACGGCCCGTTGGCCCTGGCTTTACAGAGAAAGCCTTCAAACGTCGCAAGAACCTAGAAAAAGCTCCTGCACCTGTCCAAGCCCGCTTCAAAAACCACTCAAAGGACCCTCCCGCGGGCAAGGAGAGCCCTGGCTGACTGTTCAGGCAGTGTCCGCAGGCTTGTCGCCCTTGTCCTTGCCCTTTCGGCCGCCCTTCCCTAGAGCAGGCGGCTTCCACACTTTGTCGCTTTCCGCGCCCTCGGGCTCCTGCTGCTCCTGAGTCTGGTTCCACCAAGCAGCTTGCTCGGTGCGCTTTTCCAAGTCTTGAACAGCTCGCAGGTACTCTGCAGCAGTTTCCAGCTGAGCAGGCTCGCCGCCCCACCGCTTTCGTGCCAGCGGGTCCTTCAGACTTGTGAGCGCCCAGCCGACTTCCCAGTTGCCTCCGTCCAGCGCGACCTGGTGAAGGCATCTGAGGGTGAGCACCGTCATCAAAGCGGCAGCTTTCGAGGATGTGCGACACGAGGAAGCGCGCCCGAAAGAGCCCCTTCTGCTTCCCAAAAGGAATCCTTCGGGTGTAGTCCCACAGATGGTACGGCTTGTCCCCACCATCCACGCCCAGCTCGGTCTCGACCTCGTCGATGTAAGTCCGAACGTGCTTCATGGGCTTCTTCCACATGGCCTCTTGTGCTTTTCTGTGACGCCGGAAAGCACGCGCTGAACCTCTGAGCTTTTTGTCGCTCCCCGAGGAACCGTCGCTGCTCGACGAGTCCTTTGTGTCCCTGAGCTTTTTGCTCTTTCCCTTCTTGGGCTGAGTTGTCGCTGAGGATCTTCATCATCAACAGCGTCTGGAGCGTCTGGGCGTCTGGCTTCTTGGTCGAACTTGCCGAAGTCAACAGAAGCTTCTGTAGCGCTTCCGTCAAGTTGTCCTCCCTGCTTCCAGCGGACTTGTGCTTGGCGGTCTCGCCCTCGAACAAAGCGAAGCTTTTCAACTTCTTGTGGTTCGTGTCTCTCTTGCCTCTCGGCTCGGCGGAGCTTGCGCTCTTTCCACCAAAACCTCGACTGCTCTTTCTCGCTTCCCGTAGCAGTCGGAGTAGCTCGTCGTCTACCTCCTCTTTGTCCTTCTCTGCTTCGGAACTGGCTTCCGAGCTGGAACTCTCCTCGCTCGGCTCTTGAACATCTAGGAAGTGATCCACATTGACTTTGGGACCGTCTGCCTCTTCTGAAGCGGTGGCGGTGTGAATATCTTCTGTCTCCGACATCCATCGCCTTGCTTCTTTCAGAAGAGTGGCACCGTTGACTTCCAGTGCCGCAAAAGGCTCCAGCGGTACTTTGGTCACGAACTGATGCTCTCCGCCTTCCACTAGCATGTATTTTCGGCTTTCTATGTCTATCGTCGTGATCTGCACTGAGCTTGGCAGGGATGCAAGATCGACCGCTCGAACCATGACCATGAACTGTGCCAGCGCGCTTCGCGATTTGCGCTGGATGATGATGCCTTGTCTCCATGGTGGATTTCCGAACTGGGCATCCACCTTCAGGAACACTAGCTGGCCGGGCTTCGCACCCTTCATGCTGGACAGGCTTCACCGGTCCATGGCACACAAAGGGGCCTTTCTACCCTACACCTCAGCTTGGAAAGGAGCCTGAAGGTTTCGTCGTCCGGACATTCTGCTAGGTCTTACCCAAGCCGCAGCACCGGGAGCCCTGAAGCGGGAACTGCCGAGCGGCCTTACGGCTCAAACGCAACTGGCCGTTAGCAGACGACAAAACATGCAGACATCCACTCATATGTTGAGAACAAGGAAAGAAGGTGCCTAGCGCCTTCTGCACCACAGACGCTCACACGGAGACAAAACTTGATTGATGCATGCAACAGCCTCTGATGGAACACGCCACGCATTACGGGAATCCCAACAACAGCAACTGCAGACTGAATCTGGAACTGCCCAGCCAACAATGAACTGCGAAGAAGACAACCGCCCCGAAACAAGCAAGAAGAAGTGCAACAGCATATCTAAAGAAACATATCGGTAGAGGGACTGTCGCTCTAGCGACTGCCGCGGGCAGGGAGGGGGGAGCTCATCGGGAACCTCAATTCTCTTAGTCCCGCTGCCCGCCCCCGGCATCCTCCGGCCCTGGAAGACCCGCAACAAGCAAAGCACGCTAGACCCGGGGAGCACATGGCCTTGAATATAGCAATTACGATCTCTTCAAATCGCACAGTGCATGGCACAAGAAACCTCAATCTCCGGGCATTCAGGCCCAACCTGCAGGACATAGGCGGCTGGACGCAAGGTCAGCCTCTGCCCAGCGGCCTCGATGAGCATGTGACCAGCATGTGCTCAGAAATGGAAACGGCAACCTTTCGGGCACCTCCGCTCCAGCCACGTGGAAGCTGAGCTCTGGCAGTTCATCGTCCACGTTGACCTGCTCCTTACAGCAGTGCTTCACACTACGGCTACACGCTCATCGCAGAAACTACCGAAACCCCTCTGCTCCCTGAATACTGGCACCCATCGGCACCCATCCACTTCCAGCAAGGAGTCGATCCACTCGGCACAATGGCGGAGCAGCAGCTGAAAGGTGTCTGAGGGCTGGATGCTCAGTGCTCGACCACCTGACACAGATTGGTGAACGTCTCAAGATTCTAGACACCTCTAGCTCCATCAACTGGAGAAAAGATGGGGTTGGCGGTTTTGACAGGACACATCCCTTCCTAGACTAAGCCCTGCCATTCCATGTCGCCTGCATGAATCACGAGGGCCTTCCCAGTCTGCCGATGTTCATATAAAGCTCGACAAGGCAAATGGGTAACGACGGCACAGTACAACCCTGCTTGCATGAGTTACGCCATCGTCACGCCTGTCGTGGCTTCACCAGCCCGTCTTGGAGTCTCGTTGCGCTGCAAATCCAGGGCAAAGAGACGACGGCTTCCTTCAGAGACGGTTTCCATTTTGATGCCCGGACCGAAGTAGGCCGTTCCAATGTCTATCATGCGAGTTCCTAATACTACCCACAAAGGCGTCCAACCGCACGTCCATCAACACCTTCGCCACTATCTGCAATACCCCTCTTTCAGCACATCACCCCGGCAGACCGCCGGCCCATGCCAACCCAGAACCTTCAGGAAGCCGTCACCCCGATGCTATCCACAACGACAGTACCCGCTTCCAGCAGTTTCAGGAATTTGGCTGGGGCACCGGTTGGTGTTGGAAACACACAGGAACTCGACTGCAAGGCCCGCAAGCCCTGAAGCTTGGATATGCTTGGCTTCAGGAACAAGAGCCCGTCCCCTCGTTCGAAACCAAAACGCACGAAGAAGATTCCTGACGTGATGTTCAAAAGAGTCTTCCAGAAGCTGGTAGAACTGGCACTCTCAGAACAGATCGCAGCCGCATTCCCTGAATGTGTACCAATACCGAAAAACGTCCCGGAAGGCCTCGCTTGACTGCCTGCGTGCGGTTGGCCGCAGACGTGGCATTGGGCATCCTGGATGCGGCGAAAGTGCCTGGTCAATACAAGACTTCCGGGTGCAACTGCAACGCTGCTGCTCCGTGTTGAAAAGTGGCTTTGTTTTGGGCGAGGTCTACTTGTCGCCACTGTGTCCCACCTCGCAACTCATCTGCGACATCATGCAGGAAGGACCCGGGGCCCCCGAGAGGAACACCACCCCTTCTCCTAGGGCTGCACAGGGGCTTCGACCTCAAACATGACAACAGTAGCTGGCAAACAGTCGTGACCTGCGAGATGGCCCTTTTTTTGCTTGCACAGGCCGTGAGCACTGAACACCCAAGCCACAGCGGGGGGACGAGGCGACGGGTGTGAATGATATGAAAGCTGTACCAGCGGCAACTTCCTGCAAGGGAAAAGTTGAACACCACCACCGCTAGTGTACCAACAATGACAACAAGGGCGACAACGCGAATTACTAAGAAATAGATCCAACCATACCTCTGTCTGTAGGACACACTGCCCCCTGTCTGTTTCCTGGCTGCTAATCCGCCGGGGAGGTGAGTGGGAAATCAAACGTAAATACAACCCGCACAGCATGCGACGAGACAATCAGGCTGCTGCTACCGCTCGGCTGCTGCCCCCCGCCCACCCACCCCCCCAGCCGGCCTGAAGCCTAAACAGGGACAACCATCGAGGGAAGTGGCCTTCCAGGGGGAGGGAGAGGAACTAAACATTGTCACATTGGGGGGGAGAGGGTGGCGCAACCATAAATGATATAGGCCTTCAGCTTCGAGAGTGGGTCGATTTCTTGCCTACCCGATAACCACGAACACCACAGGCACCACCCCGCGAAAAGACAAAGAAGCCGAGAGACCAAGAATCCAAGCACACAGGCACCACGCCACAGAGGGGAAGGATGCCATGTGGTGACGGGAGAATTGGGGGGGCCAGCATGGGCCTGCATGCCCAAGCCGACATCCGACCGTGCGTCTGAAGGCTCGGGTCCTCAGATTGAGGCCCTGCGATACGTTTATAGCGGAGAGGCAGTTTGGCGGACTGTCTCGTGGTTCGGGTTCATCAATCTGTTTGGGCCGTTTAAACGTGCTTAGACGTTAACGTTGAGAATCTAAGAGTTCACAGTGAAGCACCCCTCCGTGTCGATCCCGACACACCCGGCCTGCGAGGATGTGAAGCACTTTGGCGATGATCGCTTTGGTACCCTGATCTGATGGGAGCTCAGCTGTGGCTAGACTCTCCTAGTCGGCAACACCCGTGCGGAACAGCCGGCTGCTGTAAAACCCTGGCTTGAGGAAGAGTCGTAGAGTCGGGAGAGCGCTTGGTCCAAAGCCTCCTGTCCCGCAAGACTGCTCCGAAGCTGAGTCAGGTGGCCAGTCCCGGAACTCCGTGCTGAAGCAGCGAAACCCCACTCCTCGGTGGATCTCTGTGCACAGACTGGCTCTTCCGGGAAGTGAAAGTCAAAAGCAAACCTGGCCTGCTCTCGTTGTGTTTCAATGCCTGCGGCTCTGCTTGGGTCAGGGGCCTTAGGTCTTTGAAAGGCTGGCTTGACCTTGGGTGAAAGCGACAACGAAAGGCGCACATCTGACACGGACACTAACCTGGACCTGGATGCGATCTTTAGCCACACATTCTCACGGCAGGAACAGGCTATGAGCTTTCAACCGGCAAGAACCAGAGCCCACAGTCACACAACTGCTGGACGCTCAAAAGATACGACGGGTTCGTAAGGCACCTGGATGGCTGAAAACAGATCCGAAATCTTTGTGGCTGGCGTCAATGTCTGGTTCTCGGCGGTCAGGTTTCCGAGCTCCTGCCATCTTTGCACCGTCAAAGACACTGCAGTACCGTCCAAGCTCGCAGCTTTTGCGTACCAACATAAACTCTGTAATGGTACTTCGCCTAGATACCTAATGACTAAGCGCTTAGGTTCCCAGCATGCCGCATGCCATGCTGGTGTTCTTGAAGTCTGTTTGGTGGCGGGGCAAGGGCACGCGCCTGATATCACTGTCTCTCAAAGAAATTTAGAATAAGCAACTCGCACAACGTTCACCCTTTAGGCTCGGGCACGCCTGTTCCAATGCCACCTGCGCCTCCATGCAGCGCGGCCAGCTGCGGCAAATCTCCTGCCCAAGAATCGTTCAAATGCCAACGGCACGGAGAAGAACAACGAGTGATCCTACGCTTGCAAGCCGCAGTCATGCTTTGCGAAAGCATGACTGTCCATCAGAGAATACCGCGTGCACAAGTCTCTGCAAAACAATCCTCATAGAGCTGCAGCACTTGCTCGCGGGGGCCATTGATGAGAGTGGTGCCCGAGTCCGGGATCCTCGGCTGTAAACAAAACTGAAACTAGCCGAAACTTCTTGGAATCTTTGTGGGAGGGATTGCTCTGCGGGCTTGGCAGCTCGGCAACAGAGTCCCGGCAGGGAGATACAGCGACAAAAGATCCGAGTGGGACAGCATCAGCTCCAACATTGCGAACCCTTGTTATGCCATGTCGCGCATGGTTGCGCGCTTGATATTTGGTCTAAAATTCTAGATTCCTGCTGCGCACTCTCGCACCCACACAGGGCAGCAACAAAAAGCTCGTGCGTCGCCCTCGAGGGCGAACATTCGCTTGATGCCGAAAAAGCCTGTGCAAAAGCGCTGATCGCTTGCAGCGTACTTCTGCAGTCCGACCCAGCGAAGTTCAGTGCAACCGTGAGAGGTGAGCAGTTCGCTCTGTCATCTGTCATCCTGAGCAGCACATCTCATCTCTGTCGCTCGAACATACTTGCGACGCGACCGCCACACGGCGACTGCCGCGGTGTGTTCGATCCACATATTCCCACTCCCCTACAAGTAGCAACCGCGGTGCGACCAAAAGGAAAGTCCGGAGTGCGGCGACGAGCCCGGGAGTGGAGTGCGGTGGCGAGGAGTGAACGTCGTCCCGTGGCTGCAGAAAACATTCAGCTTGCAAAGGAAGGACTCTGCAAGGAAGGTTTCACCTTTATAAGAGCGCCATTGACGCCAACATTGAGACGACTCCAAGATCAACGTACTGGCGGGATTCAGAGATCACACCGAAAGGAACCCAGGACCCTCATAGGGTGGCCATGCATGGACTTCACGGGTAAGTTGAGCATTTAGAAGGCACCACCCCAAAAGTTGCTCTCCACGTTGACTGCCGGGATTTGTTTGAAGACCACACGGACGAGCCCGAGGGGCCGCGTAGTGTGGCCATGTGCGGCCCTGCCATGGCTTTAGCCATGCCGAGTGCCTGGAAGGAAAACGCGTTGCCAAAATGCCAACCCTTATAATTTCGGCCTGCCCGGAAGTAGTCCGAGTTTTAAGGAAAACGCACACACGAAGTAATGGCCATGAATACATCATTGCTTCTCTGTCGTTTATTTCTGTCGAGGGAACAATTGCAATTCTTGCCCTTTCTGGTCTTCCGACTCGTTTCTGGGCATGTGTTCTCTGATTGGTACCGACCCGATCAATGGAGATCGCTCGAAGTTCTACAACCAAGGTGCATCCCACAGGCGGTTCGCTGACCCGGCTGCTTGTGTTTCGGAGCGCAAAAGGAAATCTCGCCTGCACGCGGCACACGCAGCACTGTGGGTGGGAATCTTGCGTTTAGGTGGTGCAGTGGCACAGCCCTACCAAACGCAACAGCCGCGCTGTCATCGTGCAAGCCAGAGCTGATCTACCTGCATCACACATGCAGCTCCGAGAAAGTCGATATGTTCCACTCCTACATACTCAGATCCACACTCTGCGATACTCTGCGCGCTCGCCATGGCCGAAGCCTGCGACACAGAACCTGAGAATCAAGGAACCCTGCGCCTGAGCCGACGGAGATGCCCTGCAGCTCCAAGCCCCAGTGCAGTTGGCCTGCGTCACACAAAGCTTGGCAGGGACTCCCTCGAACTCTCCGAGGCACCCAGAGATCGCAGCCACTGCGAAGGGGACTGGTTGACGTGAAGGCCGAGCACACCATCGCCCTGCAGAGCTACATCGGCGATTGGCTCTTTGTGCTTCAGGCATGGCCTTTTACTTGTTGCTCCTTCATGCAGACGTAAGTTCAGGAATCTGGGCACCTGAGTTACCTGTTGCCTTCTTGCGGCATCCACCTGCTGCTGAGCGTACTGTTGCACGACCGTCGAAACGATCCGGCGACAATTTTTCAAAGGAGTGCTTAAAACTGACGGTCTTGTGCTACACTTCCAGAACAAGAGGCTCTTCAGAGCGACGAATCATCGGTGGTATCAACACCATCCAAGCAATGCTGAGGATGATGCCAAGCACCTGGACTGTCGAACATCTGCCGCCTTGGGCGTGGCTGTCTTGTTCTTGTGGACCTTGCGGACCAAGGCCAGGCCCAGGCTTTGGGTGCAGACCGCTGAGCAGTCGCGCTTGAAAACGTCTGCGCAGGAGCGTTAATGAAGACATCGAGGAAGACTCAGACGGCTCCATGTTCGATTTTATCGGAAACAGAGAAGTCGAAGCTAGAGATACTGCATCGGCTTTTGGAGATGGCCGCAAAGGAACGCTTTGAAGGAAGGAAAGGATGTGCAGAAGCAAGTCGGGGCTGAGGCTCTGTGAGAAATAGATTGCCCAGACGAAGGCACCCGTCAATTCCTTTCTCCACTGCTGCCGGCGAGCTCGGACCTGTCGGACAATCCTGGCTGCGTCTCCGTTCAATCGGTCGGGCCAGTACTCGACACGAATTGGCCGCTTCACCTGGAGCTGGGCCTTCTCTTCTAGAAGCGATGCTGTCAGAGGCATGCGCGTCCGGTTGAGGTACATCATCCGCGCCCTTAGCGCGGCGTGACCTGCTGCTTCCGCCAAGAGCACACGCACTGCGAAGCTGGAAATTTCGACGCCCGAAGCGCTGGAAGTGCGGAGATGGAGATCAGCGCATCTTGCTACAGCTGCAACACTGTAGCAGACCCACAGCAAAAGAAGTACCCGGGGCTCATCCAGCAGAGGCATGTAACCGAATAAAAACCCCAAAACCAATAACAGCGAAGTGTCAAAAATTTCTTGAGAAGTCCCCCAGATTAAGCAGGGCGCGCCCGCGGTGACCAAGGGGAGCCAAGAGAGCATTATCAAGAGGTCGTTGCTGTGGCATGGGTCCTCCACGAAGTAACCGAAGGGCTGCAATGAATTTGACAGGTATAGCCAGCTGCCAACCACCAGGAGCACGAAGAGCAAACACGTGTGAATGACCCAGAGTACTGCCCAGATGTATGGCAAGTCATCCACAAGCATGGAGCAGCCATAAAGGATTGGCATACTCGCTAAGACCAGCAGCCTTGGTCGTCTGTTGTCATCACCGGCAAATTCACCAAAATCCGACTTCAGCCATGTTTCACAGCTTTGCATCACACATGCACTACGTTTAAGCATAAAAGACCACATGCAAGTTGGGATGGCCCGCTGCCCAGCCAGGTTGCAGCATCTCCAGGCGCAGCTGATGCCTCGAAAATTTCGGGGATCCGGCTGGGATTCTCGACACCTCTTTTCTGATTCCACCGGCTACTGATGCTTTAAGTAATTGATGTCTTTAGCTCCAAATTCCCCGACAAGAGCATGAATAGCCGACAGCCCCGGACAGCCCTGGACAGCCCTGGACAGCCCCGGCACCGCACCGCCACGGAGCAGCTTGGACAGCACAGCCGCCAGTCCCATGCCAGACATGTGAAAGCTAAAGGCGCCGGCATAACCCTTCGAGTTTGCAATGTTGAATGACGGCTGTGCACCAGCGGATGCGTCAAGGGCTGAGAACTTGTGATGCGTGACAGTAACAGCAGTTGCAGCAAGCAGGACTAGTAATAGCAGTAGCACTTGTAGCAGTATTAGTGGCATTTTCATTCCCCACGCCGCATGACGTCTGATGTCTGCATAGCGAGCTAGCGAGCCGACATTTGTCGGTCCGGACTTTCAGGGAGTCAGCGCCAAGCCCCTTTGGCAATTGGCACTCTACATAAATCTATCCTATCCATTCCAATCAATAACATCAGTCTTCTGATCAAGCTTCAGAACACGGGATCCAGACCTGTCGAGCGTCTCAGCCAGGCAACGTAAATGGCAGCATCACTGTTCCATACTGTTCCCATTGTACCGAACTGCAGCTTTGTTGTCATCAGTGATCCTCCTCTTTCCCCGCCGAACCGACTCTGTCCGCAGAGACCCGCCCTCAAGGGCGATCTCCGAAGGCCATGGCGACCACCTCATATGTCAGAAAACGGCATGGCATGAGCTCGGCATCATTCTCCAGGTGGTGATCCAACATGTTCCAACGTGGCCTGAAAGATTGGCAGTAAGATGCCCCCCTTTGTATCCGGCAAGTTGCCTTACATCCCGCTGCCCTGGTCATCCTCACGGACTCTCAGGATCCTGGCGAAGAGATGACTGGCCTGCTGGGTTGACTTTCCCATGCATTCACACAAGCCTGAAGGTACTGCATTCGAGCGAGGCCATGATTTTCACACACATGCACTTGTCAGGCAGTAGACTAAAGCAGCTGGCTGTGTTCCCCAAGACCCGGCATACGCGGCACACCGCATTGCCTGCACGATGTCACGAATGATTTGGACACATGCTGGAAGGCGAGGCAGGGCGCCCCACTGTCTCATCAACTCAGTCCATTGCATGTCACTCCGCGGGGTTATCTGCGGACAGGAGCGTCTGATCCACAGACTCCACAAGTTACGACACGGTGCCGGGCGCAGGTGTTGTCGCTGAGGGTCACACCACATGGGCCAAAGCATGCATTGCAGCATAACATCAAGACCTGGGAGCTTATCAGTCAAGCGCAGACAGTCCAAAGCGGGGGATGCAGTTGGTGCAGAGCTGGACAGGCCTGCAAACACCAGTGCAGCGCCTGTGCTTGCTGGGAGAGTCCGCTGAAGGTCTGCTTCCGATTGTCTCCCCCAACCTTGGTTCCAGCTCTGGCTTTGATTCCAATTGGTTGGGTTCCACTCGCCTGAAGAACGCCACGATGCCTGGCCCCCTTTCCGCCCTTCCCTTTGCCTTTTCCCTTGGTTTGCCTTTCCCCTTCGGCTGCGACGCCGATGTGCACGGCTGTATTGCCTCAGTCCAGTCTCGCTTTCTTCAGCCTTGGACTGTCCTCCTCGCACTCCCACTGCGGTCCCATGAGTGCGGGGCACACTCCTCCGAAAAAGGCTCGCTCCTCCGCAAGGCCACAGTACCTACACAGGAAGACCATGTTATGCCCGCGGCGCTTGATGGCAGCATGGTCCATGCATCATTGTCTACGCAGCGGGCAGCGGTGCATAAGCTCCGCGCGCACTTCTGGGCAGGAGAGAAGCCAGCCAGACCGACAGAGAAGCATCTGCACTAAGGGTCTCTGTGACAATGGTAGCGTTTCCAGTGGTCTGCAGGATTGCGACAGAGCAGGTCACCAGCAAGCAGGAGAAGTACTGGCCTGCCTGTTAGGTGAGGCTGCAGCGACACTGGCTTCCAAGGAGTCGGGCCTCTGGTTGCTGCACACATTCTGGCGGCACGTGACTGAGTTTGGGACACTACAAGTGGGCATCCCATCTATACCATGCACACGCCGATCAAACTTAGGCGCCGGCAGAGGCGGCTCAGTCTGAGATTTGTGTTGTCGGGATTCATGTGACCTGCGAAGACAGTGTGTTGCAAAGTGCTAGCCGCAATACCTGCATTCGTGAAGTACCTCTTGGGCGACAGCGTCAGCAGTCACCGCAGCAGTGGAGGCAGGAAGGCGGCCCTGCTGAAGCGTTCGACGAACAAAGTCAATATGCGCCAGCGCAGGTTTGGGGGCGAGCAGGGAGTCAGCCTGGGAGAGAGTCAGCAGGTCACTACCGAGCCGATTGATCTCCTCAAGCCCCGCACAGATATCCGGGAGGCCTGCATTCTGTAGCACTTCCTATCGCAAACATGACTGAGATGCGCCGGGCACCTCAGGCACGCAGATGCCGCATGTAACTGGCACGGAGCTGTTGTCCACCACCAGCAGGAAGACCTGCCGCTGCAAGACCATATAAGAGGCTGGGCGGGACACTTGAGTTCCAGACACGGAGGCGGTCTTGGTTAAAGAGGCCTTGTGTGGAGCACACCAGTTTCCTGCTCTACTCCATTCAACCTTGGCCAGGCTCATACGATACAGCAGATCTGGGTGCAGGGATATCAGCATAAGTGATCCTTGTTCCCAAGAACGTGTGTGAGGTCACCACGGGAATTCAAAGAGATGGCCCTGAATGTACGCACCGACCCGAGGTCAGCCTCCGTAGACACAGACCCTGTTTCGGGCTGACTGCACGTCTTCGAGCCTATGTTTATAGGCTCCCTGGCCGGCACCCACATGATGCTGCCATGCGTAAACATCCGACACAAACACCTACACAATTTGCTGATACTTGCCACGTCCCAGAACCTTGCCATCCAGCTGGCTGCATTATTTGATAGCCCACACTGACATGCAACCCATCGCTGTAAGGTAGAACCGAGGGTCGAGGGTGTTTGCCGTGCATCCTCGGGACCGATTTCGATCGGGAAGCCAAGGCAAGAGTATGAGTTTTTTATCGTCAGTTTCCTTCTGCGAAGTTGTCACCCCTGCTGCCTAGGCTGAGCCAGGCTGACACACGTGTCCCTGGCCCTGATTGGCCATGCAGGATCACATCCCCTACACATTGTCTGGCGGCATTGCATGGGTCCAAGTCTGGAGCCAATGGTCACAACAAGGTGCGAAGTGCACAGGCATATGCTGAGCAATTCTAACATGTATCGTCTGACTGCGATCAGAGTGGCAGGAGCTTTGGGCAAGCTGCTGAAAAGCATGCTGCGAATGCTCGCTCTGTGGCCCTGGCTGAGAGCACGCGGTAGGGCACGCACGGTTCTCGCTGCGCTCTGCTATTCGAGGATCTGCTGGGCTAGTGCAAAGAAGTGCAAGGACTGCGAACAGATGAGCCATCATGCGGCCTACAGCCGTGTTCGATTAGGGCCCAGAACCAGTCTAGCAGGCTTGCCTGCAAAGCAGGGCCCAGAGCTTCACACACATAACGCGTCTCAGCTGAGAGCCAAGAACCTTAGCAGTAGCAGTAGCAGTAGTCGTAGTAGTAGTACTAGTAGGA